CGCCTAATCAAGGCCGCATAAGTCCAATGACATTCAATTAATCGTCATGGGATTGAGAATGTCACAGGCGTCAAAACTAAGCACCTCAACCATTGCCTTTTGATGGTCATTAGCAAGTTTCCCATTGTCAGTTTATTAACGTTACTTGTAGTTTCTTGATTTTGAACTTGAGTGTTCTCTTCAGGAGGATATGGCCATAATTGAAATTGTTACGTAAGTTGCACTTTTCAACTGAGTACTTCAAATCAAATTCATCTCCAAACATTGCATGGGAGTTTACTAGAGCCATGGGAATGGTTGAGTATCTGGAAGTGCTTGGAGTCATGACTAGAACATTGAAAGGTCAACTACATTCCGGAATTGGAAGTCTGCCCTTTCTAAGAATCCTATGCTTATCGTGTACTTGCATCCGTGAAGTTCCAGGTATGCTTCCTTGCCTGCAAATTAATGCTTAAGTTCATTGAATTTGATGAGATTCAAGTAATGCCGATGCTTCCCACAAGTTTAAACAATCTATGAGTGTCATCTAAATCTTTGCGAATAATCCCACATCTCTCGAATCTGACTAATTTGTTTCAGTTGAACCTATCTGATGGCTCTAGTTGGAGACAAGGAGGTAAAATTCGTACTTTTGACTTAGGGATGATTGGGAGGTTCACAAACTGAATAAGTTGAGCTTGAAACTTCTATTGTCTCTGCTCCTACTGAGTTGGCTTCCTTTCTTAGTCCAAGGAACTTCATTTGTCTACGATGGACCTGCGATCTGTTAAATTTAACCTTTGATGACTTCAATTTAACTGTGTCACTCTCATCCGAAATAGAAAGTTTATAAAGTTTCGAGCTCTCATGGTCAAAAGGGCTTCAACTTCAAAATATAATAGAGTTGGTTCTGAAAAGCTGTGAATTCCTCGAGAGATTCATGCAATCTAACATGAGGAGATAAAAAAACGTCCTAGTAGAATATCGCCCAAAGCTAGTTGAAGGGTGTTTGAATCATATGGAGGCATTTTCTGTCATCTGGTGTGAGTCCTTGGGAAAGTTAGCTCATACAAGTGAAGAAGAGTTTGCTAATGAGTTGATTATTTGTGAAGGCAAACTAATTCTTCTGTCCAGAGTATAAGTTGAAGAGTTCCAAGCTTAATTCAAGTAGTCGTTACATAGGAACCGTGGGAAGGGTTTGAGGTCTCGGATTGTTGTTCTGTGCAGGGTGTAAGTGGTTTATCAAACTTTAAAGAAGCTTGACTATTTATACATCTGTGACTGCGATGGGCAATATACTAGTTGTGAAGGGCCTTGACGAGTTTAAGTACTTGAATCAGTTAACAATTCATTGCTGCGGGTCAATGGAAAGGTTGATTTATCGACTTTTCTATTTGGGATACAAGGTTTATAGTCGAACATTGTTTTCGGGGAAAATCGATGCTCTGTACACAAAGGTTGACCCTTCTATGTAGATAAATAGAAGGGTAACAGATGAATTGGGGAGACGGCAATGGGGTTCCTTCTACGGCATGCAGTTGTCGTTTGCCATGTCACGAATAGTTTGCTTGACTTTCATTATCTAGAAGTAATGTCATTGTTCAGCTTCTCTTTTCTTTTGGTCTATATAGAGCAATTTGTTTAGCTAATCGTATTTTTAATCCATTTCTTACGCAAAACTCTCCGCTATAGAGATGAGATTGGAGACATTTGCGATTTTGAAGTGAAGAAACACCAAAAGAATTGATGATAACCATGGATGCGGATTGGCTTAAGTTGTAACAATCGGACGCTTTGCACAACACGCCTAGGTTTGTGATTCTAGACCTGTGGTGGTCTTGACATGGGGTAATCTCCCATTCTCCTAACTTTTTTAAGTCAAAAGAAGTAAAAAAATAACGGTGGGATGATCCTGCCCTCTATGTGGCAGTAGCACAGAGACATCAAAGCTGTGATGCATATCTTGAAAAAGTTATTTAATTTCTCGTTCCTATCTCTCTCTCCTGCGAGTTTGACAGTCGAAATATTGACAAGAAATGGTCAATGGTGCCTTCAATGAGCAAGACCCAGGAAGCTGCTTGCCTGCTTTTATTTTTTGTTTCTCATCTTATCATGCTTACATGTACCGTATTTTTCCGTTCAGGAATCAGAAATGATGTTGAACTCAGCAATGGTTACGGTTTTGTATTCATCTTATCGCGTCATGCTTAGCTGCGCAAGAGTTGAACTAGTGAAACCTCAAGGATGCCTCGCACAGCGGCCGAGTAGAATTTGTCCAACTTCTCCCCAAGAACATATCTGACGTTTAACATTCGCATGTCTTAGATTGTCATATTAAAATACTCATTCCTGTCCATTCCTTTCTTTTTCCCCATTCCATTCCTTCGTCTCCTCCGTTTCCCACCCTGCATTGTTCGATCATACAAGTCATTACTGGTCTTCTCCTTCTCATCACGAACTGTCTCCTTTGAAAGCTATTTTGGAATCCCAGAACGCAGCAGACAGGTTCCAAACTAACAAGTCCGACCATCACGAATAATCAAATGGCAACTAAATGCAGGATAAAAGATAAAGGGGGAAGAGAAAGGGAGACAGCACCGAAGCAGTGTCGCCAACAGATTTGAGCATCTTCGTTAATGTGAAGGAAGCATATACAGTAGCGAAGAGGCCTTTACTTCCGCTTTCCTGCACACAGAATCAGCTAAAAGATATCAAAAAGATATAGATGACGAAATCATACATTGCTCTCGACAACTAGTTCTTATGATCACAGTACTCATCAAGACCGAGAGAAACAGAGACCGAGAAAACACTCGGATGAACCACTTCGAAATTACTAATGAAGGAACACTAGCTTCTTTCTTCATTCTTATCATCTTCATCCCAATAAAATTTCGAACTAGTATCAGCTCTTAAACTGTCTAGATGACCATCCAGGACGAAACTGAAGATAAGTTACCCAGCTAGGGTAATACGTCAAATATATCAACCTGGGAAACAAGCAAGACCACGACCACGTTCGATAGAGTGAGAGAGCGCTTCATGCAGTTGATCTCGAGGTAACACTTGATGTCATCATCAACAGACTGGAGATCAAAATAAAAGCAAAAAGGAAATTAGTAAAAACGATAAAACGTGGGAATCTTTGGTGAGATCATAATAACAACGGTTAGGTTTTCAAAAAATAAAAACTCGCACCAATCATCCATGTCGGAAGCTAATAACCAACTAATTTTTCTTTCCTACAGAGTGATTTTGTTGACAAATATGAATGCAATAATGCTTGTTGAAGACAAATTGGGTTATCCAACCCAACAATGCACGTGATAATCATGTAATAGATAGGCCACCAATAGGTTTGCTTCCTTTATTGTTAGGGGATCAGATTGGATCATGTTTTATTAGGAGAGTAACGATGTAATTTTCGGGCTCTATCCCTCAAAAAGCACTTGTCATGTGAAAGAAGTTGGTAGCTTACTAATTTCTAGGGATGTTGGTAAATTCGTTATAGAGTTGGGATTTTACTAACCTCGCTTGTAAAATTTGAAAGATGTTTGCAACTTAGTATTTGATCAAAATGTTGGTAAATTATTCACAGTGTCGGTAGCTTACTAACCACACTTTAAAATTACAAAGAAGTTAGTAACTAATTTTAATGAAATTTTCATAAATTTCTAAACGGGTTGGTATATTACTAAATTGGGATACGTATATTAGTAAAATTTCAAAGAAGTCGACATTTTAAACAAATTATAGAAATGTTCGTAAATTGTATATAATATTGGTATTGTACTAACAACACCTGTATAATCTAAATGGAGTTGGTAACTTACCAATTTATTAGGATGTTGACAAATTCTATATTCGGTTGATAATTTACTAACTAAACTTATAACAATTCAAAGAAATTGGAAAGTTATGAATTAATTGAAATGCTAGTAAAATCTATAATAATGTTTGCAATTTACTATGTGACAATTGTAAAATTTCAGAGGAGCTGGTTATTTATTAATTAATTTGAAAGTTGATAAATTCAGATGGTGCTGGTAAGTTACTGACTGGTTATTGGACAATCAAATTGACAACGTGCCTTTTTTTTTGTTGTCACCAGCATTAGAATAATTCAGCAATAACTTCAGAAATCTACCAAACTATGGGAAAATTTTTCAGATTTTTCCTTGACCGGAACCTACAGTCGCACCGAAAGCGGGGCAATTTTGGTCTTTTGCTAACTTCCGTTATGCCGTCCACTTGTTTGGCCACGTCTTTAAGTTTTGTTTTTTGTTTTCCTCTTGGACCAATAGCTCTTGATTTTATGGTCTTCCTCGTAAAAAGTTACGATTTCTGTTTCATATATTTGATCGCTAACTTCCTTATCTATTCCATTACATACTGCAAATGTTTTTTTAGTGGATATAATAATCAGTGAGGTAGGAGAGTCTGGCAAGAAATTGAGCTGTACGTGGAATATGCGTTTAGCTCAAATAATATTCCATCCTTCGGTCTCCCTCGACAAACATTTTTTTGATCGCATCTCCTAATATAACAGTAACACGCTACCTCGAATAATGACAACTAAGTTGTTTAGCCACGTCTTGAGCATCGATCAACAGCATTTGATTTTATGCTCTTCGTCGCCAAAAAATGCGACTCTTAGATACTACTCCATTATTTCCTCATGACTTGTTAACGCGGCTTCTTTCTCTATAAAGAACATCGGATCAGAGAGAGAGAGAGAGAGAGAGAGAGAGCTGCTAAGCTGAGCAAACTACTGCTATGGCAAGCTCAGATGCAGGAACATCAGCCGGAAGCGAGTATCAAGTATTCTTGAGCTTCAGAGGACCCGACACTCGTGTTGGATTCACGGACTATCTCTACCATAGCTTGATTGATGCTGGAATCTATGCCTTTCGAGATGACGAAGACCTCCGTGTCGGTGAAAAGATCGATGGATCCCTTTTGCGAGTAATCGACAATTCCAAAATCTACATACCCATCTTCTCTCGGAACTATGCTTCGAGCCATTGGTGCCTCTGCGAGCTCGCACATATCGTGGCAAACACCTCCAAATCAGAAGGTAATAAAGAGATTCTACCCATTTTCTTCGACGTGGAACCTGACGATGTTAAGTTGAAAACCCGGATGTATCGTGATGCCATAAATAAGCTGAAGCGCAAGAAGAATTTCAGCAGTGAGCTAGTAGATGGGTGGAGAGAGGCTCTCATGGAGGTTGATGAGATAAAGGGATGGGAAATGAAGAAGTATGGGTAAGCTAGCTGCTTTCAAGATACTTGTTTCCCCAATATCCCTTAACACTTAATCATAGATGTAAAATTCCAGTATGATTGAGGTGGGACTTTTATTATAGTAAATATCATATGATGAACCTATAATACGTTTGTCAAAAAAAGTGAAACTGGTTAACAAGTAACGACATCATCTTATATAATGGGCGAATAATGATATTAATAACTAAATTAATATTTGATTGGGCGCTGTGGGAGGATACACAATGTTAAACATTTCTTCCCTTGAATATACGATGTTAAACTTTTATAGTCATCGCTCGAACATAAGTCATAAATTGTCAATTTCACACACACACACACACACACACACACACACACACACACACACACACACACACACACACACACACACATATATATATATATATATATATATATATATATATATATGTATTTTTAACATAATCCCATGCTTGCTAATCTCATGTTAGAAGAATTGCCAAGCTCACAATAAGTAAGTTTTGCAGTGATATTAATGTCCAATATGGACTCTCATAAGATCAATTTCAGGCTGTTAAGGTCCCATTATTTATCCGATTATTGTGTAGTTTATCCAATGCTTGAATAACATCACTTCTTGCTAGGTAATTGTGATTTCACATTTTTCCTCAACTAAAATGGTTTTCCATTGTAGCAGCTTCGACAAACTAATCAAATTGGTAGTTGAGAAGGTCATGGAAAAGTTGCAGACTATACATAGACGGGTGACTGACCATTTAGTTGGGATTGATGGTCAAGTAAGAGCAGTAAGCAAATTATTAGACGTCAACTCCAATGATGTGCGACTCATTATGATTCATGGTATGAGGGGTATTGGTAAAACGACTCTCTCCAGGGTTGTTTTCAACCAACTCTCTTCTCATTTTGGAAAGAGTTGTTTCCTTGAATGTGTTCGAGCAAAGTCATCAAGTTATGATGGCTTAATTGAGTTGCAAAAAAAGTTGTTAGCCGCAATCGGCAATCCCTTAGGAAAACGGAAAAATGATGACAAAAGTTACGAAATTAAGAGGACCGGAGAAACACTTCACAATAAAAAAGTACTCATTGTACTTGATGATGTCGATGACGGAGAACAAGTGAAGAAATTAATTGGAAACAATACTTTGTATTCAGGATCTAGAATAATGATTACAACTAGAAATAGAGATGTTTTGCGAATTGATGCGCCAAAGTATCAAATTTTAGATTATGAAATGGAGGTAATGAGCACTGATGGTGCGCTTAAGCTTTTCATTGGGCATGCATTTAAAGGAGACTCTGCTTCAGATGATTACAGTTATCTCTCAAGGGAAATTGTATCTGTTATTGGGAGCAATCCCTTGGCTCTTGAAGTAATTGGTGCGTTACTCTACCGCAAAACGCAAGAACAATGGATAGAGACATTGAAGAAGCTAAGAAAAACACCTCATAAGGATGCTTTTGGAATGTTGAAGATTAGCTATGATGCCTTAACTTTTGAGCAACAACAAATTTTTCTTGATATTGCATGTTTTTTCGTTGGTGAGGAAAAGACAAATGCAATTTATATGTGGAAAGATTGTAAGTTCTTCCCGGATTCTGGAGTTGCTGTCCTCATCAGCATGTCTCTGATGAAGATTGTGGGCAATAAGTTTTGGATGCATGATCAACTTAGAGATCTTGGAAGGGAAATTGTTCGTCAAGAAAATACAATCAATCCTGCAAAGCGGAGTAGGATATGGAATTACAAGGAGGTCCTTGATGCAATAAGAGTAGAGGAGGTAAAGCACTTCTAGAAATAACTAATAGTTCATGACAAAAAATTCCTCAACGCTGGCATAGGATGCTCTGTCTTCTTTTTCTTTTTTTCCCTTTTATTATACTTTTCCTCTACGTAATAGAAAACTCATATCACTCATTTTCTTTTCTCATGTGCAGATGAACAAGAACGTTCGAGCTCTATATCTTGATACATATCAACTAAGTTCCCAGGATGAAGTTTTTCGAAGTAATGAGATTGGAAGGTTTGAACATCTAAGGTTCCTTACTTTAACCGGAGGAACCTTTGTTGGCGACTTAGCGAATTGTCTTACTGAATTAAGATGGATTTCTTGGAATCATACTCGACAAATCTACGAATGGACCAACATGTACCTGAAGAATGTAGTCATTCTTGAATTTTCAGACATTGGCTCCTTAGATGATTCGAGGTTACAAAACTTAATCAAGGTGCGTAATATGCTTATTTCTATTATATTTTATGCGAAGCTAATATTTGTCTTTTCATCTATGGAATACTGTAACAGGCAAGAAAATTGAAAGTTATTTCTCTCAAAAGTTGTCACAGCATAAAGCAAACGCCAGACTTCTCCGAATGCCCAAATATAGAGAGGCTTACTTTCGTAGATTGTTCCAACTTGAGGAAAATTGACGGCTCTATTGGGAAGTTAAGGTGTCTGATTTACCTGAAAATTGATAGGTGCTTTCATCTTGAAGATTTGCCTGAAGAAATCGGCGACCTAGAGAATCTGAAGCACTTCTTTGTAACGTGTAATGTGAAGAAACTCCCAGATTCAGTATGCCAGTTGAAATCATTGAGTGAGGTGCACTTTTCAAGTGGGTGTGATAATTAGATTCAACAAATTCATGGGAGTTACCTAGTTCTATTTGAACGCTTCAAAATTTCGAAGTGCTTCTAGCCAAAAGTCGCTATTTACATGGTCAACTTCTATTTGGAATCAAAACTTTTTCCTTTCTAACAATCTTAGCCTTGGTAGGTGATCCATGTGTCCGGTATCACGCATGAAAGAGGTGTATAGCTTGCTGTGCCGAGTGAATGTATGCTGCGTTAAGTGTGATGGAAAGTGCTAGTGTGTGCTGTATATGTGCCCCTTTCATGTGTGTATGCTGCTGGAGCTTTGTGAATGAACTATGGTCATCTTTTATGCATGATAAGGCAGGTGCAGGTTGCTGTGAACAAGCATGTAAGCTGTATGTGTACTGCGTCCAAGTATATGCTGTATATTCGAGCTGTTGGGCTGTGGGGGTGTGTATTACCGATGTGAGTTTAATTAATGAGGTTGGTGTATGTGTTTTTGCTGCTATAGTTTAGGTTACGCACGTGTGCGTGTCGGTGTGCAGAGTTTATGTGTGTATTTGATGGTGTGATCTTCCCGCGGGGGTGTAGGCTGCTGGTGTAGGTGTGTGCGAGTTGTGTATGCTCATTGCGGGTGTCACACGTGCTGTATTTGTGTGTGTGAGTGGGTGAGATGCAAGTGAATGGGAGCGAGAGGCCGAGGAAGAGAGAGAGGGTTCCGTTCGCTGCAATTTGCAGAAAACCGAGAGCAATGGGGAGTCCTTAGGCAAATCTTAAGCTAATTTTTTATTGTATATGGCATGTCGATGTGTTGGTGTTAATATATGACTTCGATTTGTGTTAAAATCAAAGTTAGGAGCTCATTTTGGAGTCAAATGGCTTGGGTGTCTAATTTTTATTTTGCCCATGGATTTTTTGTCCTTGATTTGTCCATTCCCTGCCCAGACTGTTTTAGCTCCTAACTAGGATTGTTTAGGCGTATTTTGGGTCGTGTCTTGGGGCTTTAAGAACAAGGCCATTTATATTCTTTACCCAATCGTATTGGGCTTTACTTACCACATTTTAGTTGCGTAAGGATAGATTAGTCAGATCTTGAGCTTAAGACACTCATTGTTTGATGAAATGCAGGATTGAACTTCACTAATTCAGAGTCCAGGGAACATGTTGTAGTAAATAGGGAATTTCACTTAGTAAATGGCCTGATTAGAGGTCATCAACTAAAGAAATGTGGAAGACATCTAGGGCTTTAATATAATAGGCAATGGGCTAAAATTGGACTTGATTTAATTAGGCGTAGGTCATAAATAGTCAAACTAAGTTTACGGGTCGTATTGATATTTTTAAAAATCCTAAGATTACGGGCCTTTAGAGCCGTAATCTTAAAAAGTGATAAACTAGAGAGTTTTAGAGGACTTCAGGCGATTTCCAAACATACTAGGGATTTCAATTTTCTAGGTTGATTTGATGGGTTGAAAGGGCTTGCAAAGTACCGGTTTTAATGCAGATCTAATTCCAAGATCACCAGTTTGGCTTAATCTCTAATTTCGGATTTTTGTGGGCCTAATCTCTAAAAGCTGTCAACTATGGAAACAAGGGAAAATTCCAATAAAGGCACGAAGTGCCCTCATTTCTCAAATAAAGGGCCGAAGTGAATATTGTTTCAAATGAGGGTACTATTTCAAATAAGGGCTTGAAATGCCATTATTTTCTCAAATAAGGGCCTTATTTTGAGATTATATTGTTTGCTTAGTATCCCCTAAACTGAATTCATATTTTTGGCAAAATAAACAATTTTTTTTACTTTTCATACACACAAAATTCAATATCTTTTATTGCGTATTAAGATATCAGCATATTTAGAGGATTGTTTTATCATCATAAAAAAATGGGGAGATTGTTGTAAAAATCACTATCAATGGATAAACCTGGTGATGATGAACAAGCTTAGAACGAGGATGTTTGGCAAACCTTAAAAGGACCATGAAGACAAACATCATGGTAGAGTCAAAATTGCCTATATGCTTGAAAGGACCAGAAAGATCAACATTGATATCGGGTGCAACGGATTGTTATCGGAGCAGCGGATTGTTGGCAAATAGCAACTACCTTATACAGATGATATGATGATCATTAAGGATTATGTGATATCCATGGTGTGATTTATTGGGAGAAGATCGTAAGACGTTCTTTTACGTTTTCAGGAAATAGCACCAACGGACATAGTGATTAGCTGTTGATGATGTTTGTACTAATGTTGTGACATTATATCAATGGTGATGTTTGAATAACGATCATGTGAAGATGTTTGGAATTATAGCTGTTGAAGGGTGGAAATGTGCATCGGAAGATCGGGAAGTCTATCTAAGAACAGGAACAGGTGTTTGTCAGAATTGCCAGAGCAGTCAGCATCGAGACAATAGCTACAGGACCTATTTCAAGATAGCCTGCAAATGTTTAGGATAAAGGATTGCATAGGTAGTTCTGTCTCTGGATAACAGCAACAACGGATCTCTAATGGCTAGTTAATTTTCTAAAGCATCTCCAATGGGAAGATTGAAGATGACTATTTAAGATAATAGATTCTGGGCCAAAATTTTAGAAAGCACAATGTAGAATCTGAATATTTGCTCTAGGCCGCTTTCTCAATTGATATTATTTCATTCTCTTGAAAGATTTTCACTATGATAGTCTTGCTGTATGGTAATCGTGTGAAAGATCTAGTATACAAGAGTAAGTGTAGTAGCTAAGTCATGATAGTGTGGTCTATTATTTGTTAAGGATCGGCATTTGTCAATTATAACTTGTTGAGCATATTACTAGTGCAATTCAGCCCGTATTGTGGCTGTTAGTCTGGAGAGTAGACGTAGACTTAAGGATAAAGCCGAACCACTATATATCTGCATGCAATTCTTCCATTTCTATAGTAATAGTAGCACACGCACTTAATTTTTACAATCTGTTTCTGCCAATGTTTGAAGTTAAACTTGTTATATTCCGCAAATATTTTTCATAGTTCTCAAACAATATATTCAGCCCCTTCCCCCATCTAGATTGTATTGTTAACCCCAACAGACTCTACCCAGATGTTCACCTTCGCATGGTCCTTCCAAGTCCTCACGATCACCTCGTTCTATCATACTCGAAAGCTGCGAACACCATTAATAGTGGCAGAGTCTTTCTTATATTAGCATTACTTTTTTTTTGGAGCAAATATTAGCATTACTTGATTATAATAAAATCTTCATTTATCAAATAATAGGGTTAATACCCCAAAAAATCCCAAACTTGTACATCTGTGATAAATTTACCCCAAGCTATTTTTTTTATCACAAAAAACCCCAAACTGGTACACCTGTGACAATTTTATCCCGAACTAATTTTTTCACCACCAAAAAGCCCAAATTGGTACACTTGTGACAAATTTATCCTCTGTTAGTTTCCGTTAAATTTTATTGTCAAATTGTTAAGTTTGATGACACGTGGTAGTTAACGGGTGTACCAGTTTGCGGTTTGACCCCTCTGTTTGTCACAAGTTTACCAATTTGTGATTTTTCTTGATATTAATCTAATTTAACGGACACTACTGGAGGGTAAATTTGTCACAAATGTACTAGTTTGGAGTTTTTAGTAGTCAAAAAATTAGTTTGGGGTAAAATTGTTACAGGTGTACCAGTTTGGGGTTTTTGATAGTCAAAAAATTAGCTCGAGGTAAAATTGTTACAAGTGTACCTGTGTGAGATTTTTTGTGGTAAAAAAAATAGTTCGGGGTAAATTTGTCACATGTGTACCAGTTTAGAGTTTTTCTTGATCAAAAAATTAGTTTGGGGTAAAATTGTCACAAGTATACCAGTTTGGGATTTTTCGTGGTATTAACGCCAAATAATATTTAAAATATATGATTTTGTCATTTTCAAATCATCATAATGGGGTTTTCCAACAATCACAATATTGTAAAATTTGAAGAAGTTGGTAAGCTACTAATTAATGATTCTGGTGAACTCCGTATGGGGATCACAGTTTACTAACCACACTTGTAAAATTTTAAAGAAGTTGGTAACTTACTAATTTCTTGATATATTGGTAAATTCCATATTGTGTTGATAGATTACTAATAATACTTGTCATTTGCAAGAAGTTGGTGACTTACTAATTTCTAGGGATGTTGGTAAATTTGTTATAGTGTTGGGATTTTACTAATATTGCTTGTAAAATTTGAAAGATTTCGGTAACTTAGTAACTAATTAAAATGTTGGTAAATTATCTATAGTGTCGGTAACTAGCTAACCACCCTTTTAAATTACAAAGAACTTAGTGAATTGCTGAATTTCTAAACAGATAGGTATGTTACAAAATGGGGATAGGTATATTACTAAAATTTAGGGAAGTTGACATTTTAAATAATTTATTGAAATGTTCATAAATTGTATATAATACTCGTATTTTGCTAACAACACTTGTATTATCCAAATAAAGTTAGTAACTTACCAATTTATTACGATGATGGCTCACTCTTTATTCGGTTGATAATTTAATGACCAAACGTATAACAATTCAAAAAAAATGGAAAGTTATGAATTTATTGCAATGCTAGTGTTTGCAATTTACCATGCGACAATTGTAAATTTTAGGGGAACTGATGATTTATTAAATTAATTTGAAAGTTGACAAATTTCAGATATTGTCGATAAGTTACTAACAGGTTATTGGACAATCAAACTGACAGACGTGCTTTTTTTTTTTTATCACCAGCATTAGAATTTCAGTGATAACTTCAGAAATCTACCTAATTGTGGGAAATTTTTCAGATTTTTCCTTGACTGGAAACCTACAGTCGTGCCGAAAGCTGGGCAGTTTTGGTATTTGCTAACTTCCGTTATGCCGTCCACTTGTTTGGCCACACCTTTACTTTTTTTTTTTTTCCTCATGGGCTAATAAAATTTGATTTTATGGTCTTTGTCGTAAAGAAATTACGATGTCTGTTTCATATATTTGACTGTATGCATTTGATTGCCAACTTCCGTTATCTACCCCATTATATACTGCAAATGTTTTTAAGTGAATATAATAATCAGTGATGAAGTCTGGCAAGAAATTGAGCTGGTCTTGCGCGGGGAATATGCGTTTCTCAAATAATATTCCGCCCTTCCCTCTCCCTCGAGAAACATT